ACTCATGGATATTTTAAGGCTACGTTTGACGGGAAGATTAATCCGCAGGACAGTGTGGGGGTTAGTTTGTATAAGAGGATGTGGCCGAGGAATGCTAGGGCTTTGGGAGCGGGTGAATTAGAGGCACTGGGGGAGGGGAGTGGGGATGAGGAGGAGGGAATGGATGTTGACGATGGAGGAGTCGTTGTTTAGACTTTGCATAGACTATGATGGGATGAGAAGATCGGCGTTCGCTTTTAGAGGAAGATATTACAAATTTCCAGCAGGACAGCCTGTGCAACAAATACAGTCTTTCTCGCATATCACCCAGTCTTCATCAAGCACATCTATCTCCGTCTCTAACTCCATCACAACCTCAAACTCCAAATCCTCATCAACGTATCTATTCAAGTCCCTTGTACTAATATTTGCCTTCTTCCTAATATCCCAATATTTCTTGGACTCTTCTGCTGGATCGGTATTCTCTCCCACTGGTAATACCGTCTCTTCGGGACGAGAAGTTGAAGCGGAAGGGTCCTTTGAAGGCATGTTTGGAGAGATGTTCCGCAAGGTGTCTCGATCAGAGGATGCGATAGACTAGGAAATTATCAGGTGAGGTCTTGAGGATGAGCATGAACCCTGAAATACATACATCACAAGATTCGTCTTTCTCCTGTCCCGGCAGCGAAAGCCTTTCCAAGAGTTTCTCGAAATCCTTCAATGCTTTGGTCGTTGGTGCTGGCGGTGGCACCGTCGGTGGTGTTGATATCCTCGGTGGTTCAGATAATTTTGACGGTAAAGGTGGCGACGGGGACTTAGCAATAGTCTGCAACTCGTTGGTAGCAGTATCTTGAGTATGTCTTGGGGAATCCAGCAGGTGCTTTGCCATATCGATTTCGCTTTTGAAGCGTTTGTTGCAAGTGCAAATTACGGCCGCGGCGGTCATCTTCTCCTCCTTGGATCCTGCCATGTCTTGAGGCAGAAAGTCAACGTCGATTTGCTTCTATGAATGGAGTATTTTGGAAATGAAGAATGTTGAGAATGGCTAGCGTTGAGAATGCTAGATCTCTAGAATTCTTAATTTTTGAGGGTGGCTGGTTTTGAGAATGGAATCTTGATAGGTTTGAAGATAATTGGATTGGAAGTCTTTAATCTGGATCCTAGGAATAGAAGAAGTAGAAACGAGAAAGAGCCAAAGGGAAAAGGAGATGGGCGTCTTTGTTTGCACGCATAGCTGCAGTAGGTTACACATGACAACACCCGCCAACTGAAATGAAAATCTGGTTTGCAGAATCCTTTTCCTCGCCAAATGGCGGAGATTATATCGAGCTTGAGTACTTGTCTGTAGGTGTAACTCGAAGCAAAGCTTTAGAGAATCCCATCGCCGCAATGTCCGCACCACCCACAGTCTTTGTCACACAGTCCCCAATTTTGATCCTGGCTCATGCCCCTCGATGATGCCCAATTCGAATGTACCAACCATCCCTCATCCAAACCACTGTTCATCGCTGTTTTGCCGACAGTTGTCTTCTTGTTTCCATTCTGCGTTGCCTTGAAGTCATTCTTCCGATTTCCAGCCTTGTTTCCCGCGGTGGAGGAAGGAGCATGTCTTCCAGCGAATCGAGGCTTTAGGAAGTTCAGACGCGGATTTTGGACATGAAAACTCGTTGAACATCGATTTCCTCGTGCAGAGAGTGGTATGAACTGTAAACTGGTTAGTACCGCAAACACCTTGGATTCGGCAAACTTACAAGATGATCATCTGCGGCATCTTGTAATGACAGTCTTCCGACAAGGTCATTGAGATACTGTGGCGGGGGTTGAGATGCTGCAAACTGCTCTGAAGGTATCGACTGCGGGGCAGTTCTATGTCGTGGAGAGTCTCGTTGATGCTGAAGCATTGCACTTGCATCCTTGAAACTCTTATCGCATGTGCACACCACTCGAGTGGCGGTAGCAACCATAACTGATGACATTGTAAATGAGCTTCCTATCATCCATCATCAAATAAGGAAATGAAGGTGCTGAACTTCTTATCATGAATGAGCGAATCGAGATAGGGCATTGGCTGAGAAGCGACATGCAATGCGAAGTAACACGAGGCACCGGAAGCGGCAGCAAGCATGATGCACTTCAATGAACTTAGCTGATTCGACGCGACTCCAGCACGAGACTTCGGCGATCAGTCAATCCGAGAGTTGTTTCGTTTGAGAAGGTATGATGGGTAGAAGGGAAGGAGTATGAGGTTACCACAAGTGACATTGATATTGAAACTTTAGTATTAGTGAGATTCGTTATTCGTATTCACAAATCTGCAGCTTTCTTCATATATTATGATGCCAAAAAATTTCCAGGTCGCAAAATTGTATGCCACACTACCCCTCATTGCCTCTTCATCGTACAGCCTAGTGGACGACTACTAGCGCCTCACAAATTCCTTCAAGAAGCCTGAAATCTTCCCCATAACAATGAAAAGAGCGATATCGCTCGGCTTCCAAATAATATCCGTTTGAAAATGATTCGTAATAATAACTCCTGATTCTGTCGCCGCAAGTAGTAGGTGTGGAAAGGAGAGAAGGAGCAAAGAGACATACCGAGAAATTGAAGGTCGGAAGAAATACTATCTCTAATGTATGGAGTCCTCGCTAAAAAGGTCCCCATACTGTAACGTACTACTCTTCAATCGCCAACACGTTGATGTGGTTGGTGATGTCCTCGACCCAACTCGAAATCACCTTTCTGTAGCAGTGCTTGACACGGCGTCGCCTCTTCAGTGGATAGAGTAACCGTTTGCACTCCCTGCAGTGCAGAAATAGAAGTTATTATAGTGATGCTCAAAGTAGAAATTACGACTGCCACTTGGCCTAGGAGGAGTCCGTGTTGATAGAGCTATTGTTGGCTCCGCGATTTCATCCAAGGAATAAATCTTTGGGGTGTCGTCGCTGAACCGACTAGGATCTGTCTTGATGGATGTCATGATGTCAATTTGACACTGACGCTATCGTCGCCCGTTGTCTGTTCGAGCTTTTTCCCTGGAGGATTATATGGATTGGTTCGAGTAGTAGAAAGCCTAGAGGCTTACGCAGGGGTATGTTGTGAAACTGTCCCACCATGACATCTAGCATACGATGAATCGGGATGGTTGGCTATGACTCGTTGGCATTTCTCTGGAGTGGACAAAAGTGGAGCTTGGCACAGAGCTGCTCGCGTGGTGTACTGGTAGTAAGTACACTAGCTAGCTGGTGCCACTCTGCGCACCTCTTTGCCGTGGTTTCTGACAACGCTATATATCCTATGGAAATAATGATCCGCGTCAGGAATGGTCTGAAGAGAGTAAGCCTACTACCTGTTGAACGGAATAGACGAGAAGAATTCGCATCAGAATAAACTAAGTTCAGTCTCGGTTTCTTGTCAGACTTTATTTCATATACGCCATCACCCGGACTCTCAATATCATGGTATAGGACTGGATCTTCGAGAGCCTTGATGATTTCGTGTAGCAGCTAAGCAGCTACGAGACGTGGCCACGGGGCGTGACGCCAATAGAAGTATATTCGAGAGGGGCCCAGTCTGACGAAGCTTAGTTTCGAGGAGAGCCTAGATGAGGGTTGGAAGACGAGGGCGAGACTGAGGCAGTGGTATAGTTGACGCTTTCGGGTTCTAACCAAATCCAGGAATAAAGTCGTGTCTCAGAAGATTGAAATGCAGCAAAGTAAAAAGTTGTAGATATACGCACAACCAAGCAGACATGTGATAATCTCCATCTTGACCCCAATGACGACTTTTGGGAGCGGTCGCCTGAGTTGTCCCGACTGTCCCGATTGTCCGATCGTTAGGCATAGCGCTCAACGATAGCCAGACGGTTCGGAAAATGCCCCTTTGACAGAATTTGTTCCACCCAGGCAGCCTCTTCGATCAAAGAGTCAAAATGCCAAATGAATCACCACCGCCCAGTTAGAGAGTGCGTACCCCACATCGACGAGGATTTGACAAGTATTTGACCACGTTTTGAGCCTAGCTGGCCGGAGTCTCCAATCGGGAACAAGTTTACCCCAGAGTCTGAGCATCCGCTTTCTAGATCGAGATAGGATTCTTCATCGATTTAGAGCGGCACATATTGGCAGGCTGATGATGAAACTCTCGACTTCTTGACGTTGCTGTCCAACTCAAACACACAACAGACAGAGAGACAGATAAATTTCAACTTCACCTTTTCTTCTGGACTCGTCTTTCTTGCCAATTGAAACATTCACGGATTTTGGCTTCTACTTCAGAGATCAAATGATAGATTCGAGTGGCGGAGATGGTCGTTGTACCATGGTCCAAATGACTGGAAACCCGGATGTCTACCGAACACGTTGATCTCGAAGCTCTTTCTAATGCAATCATTCAGATGGCAGAGAATTGTGATAACGGACATCCGAACGCTTACTGCGCCGAATCAGGTTGATGAAGTAGATGAGGGTTTGGGGTTTCGGCGACCTACCGTAATATCGATATCTGACTCAAACACATTACACAGCTATTGCTTTACCATTGGTCGCGGAGGATACATCATTCTGCTGGAAAGAAACGCATACATATTGTGGCTGTCGTCGAGGGTATCTGTTTCACGAAGGCTTCCAGCGGATCATCGTAGTCGCTGGCGAGAGGTCGTCTTCTGGTCATCTGCATAACCAGGTTGCTGAAACTGTGCGGTGGTACAACGGACATCCGAAGGAGGGCTGGGGTTGCTGCGGTCGACGAGAAGAACACTGTGGAGTTGAAACTGAGACTGTTAAGTGAAGTGAAGAATTACAGTAATTTGACCTCGAGGACTTTCAGGCCAACATGCACTAGCGTCTCGCTTAACCTTAATGTCCCCTTGAAGCGGCACCAGGTCTCGCGCCACTAAGAAGAAAAAAAAGGAGGCTGCGACCCAATTCAAGACCGCTTCCACAACACCACAACGTATCTGAATATATCAAAAAGTACAAAAAGAATGTATCCAGGTAACCCTGGGGACATGAACTCTAGAGAAACTCTCTGACGGGGAGTCGAACCCCGATCTCCCGCGCTTTGCCATGTTAATGACAAGCGGAAATCATGACCGTTAGACCATCAAAGATGTTATGGATTGCTGCTTAGATGGACTTGATATTATTATTCAAATCTATATTGCTTTTCACGGTGAGTGTGGGAAAGTGGGGTAAGCTGTCGGCTAGTAGACCAATAAGGGCTTGCTATCAATAGGTAGTGGCTTTTATTATGGGGCGGGGTGATAGAAAGATGACGACTCTTTCTTCCTTCTTCCTTTCTTTCATGGGGGCAAGCCCCCAACCCCCCAGATTCACTGCACTCGAGAGTAACTCTTGTAATATATCTTGGGCTTGCGTAAAAAAGATTTTATTTATTTCTCAAGTTGGAGGAATTATCTTAAAGTGTTTCATGACTTTGAATGGAAATAAACCCTGTTTTGTCAGTTGAGAACCCGTATTCAGGTGTTGGTGGAGAGTGCACTGAGACAGTGATCAATGTGGAATGAGGCCTCACGCTCGATCGAGCATCGGCTCATATGGATTGTCTCAGCTGGACTGGATGCACTAGTGAATTCACTTTATTAAGGGAACATTCCCACTTAGCTAGATGTGCAGATTAGACATCACAATACCACTCCTTTTGCCCTCTCAACTGATATGTTTACAAGTCTGCCTGCCGTTAATGATAGATTATAAATTTTCTATTAAAGTTTCTTTCTCGTGAATTCATGAGAGATCCTTTTCCCTTACCTCAATTAAAAGCTCAGCAAGTAATGAGAGCCTTGGAAACTCAACTCGCGAGGGACAGCTTCACAGAAGCACTTCTCATTTCACAAAATTTAAAATGATTCACACATAAGAGAAGAGACGGAGGTATATCGTTTAGCATGCATTTCATTTCCAGGCAGACCAATTCAGTCCGCAAGGCCAATTCATGCAGGCCTTAAGCGATCTGACGTTCTCACTAGTACCATGCCAATCGCACGTACCAGCGACGGCTTCATCAACTATCCACCCAAATCACAAACTTCCTAGAATACCTCTCCCTTCGCCTGCCTCGGCCCTAAACATCCTGAAGATAGCGCTTTTGAAATTTCCAAGGAGCTTGCTGACAGTTGCAGACCTCCTCTCTGACAGTATCGGTCAATCCCACTATATTCTTGGACTTCTTCGGCGTACTTCGAGTCATTGGCTTGCCCGACTTGTCAACTCTGCCTGTCTTGACTTTGTCCATATTGCTCGGTCTGAATGAATGACGCGCGGAAGCTTGTTCCTCTGCCCGCGGGCATTTCTTCAGGCCTTTCTCCTCCTTGACACACGGCCAAGTCTCCTTCTTATACTTTTGCAAAGCTTGGATGAGCGGTCCATCAATAGCTGGATCGAGACCAAGGACACCTTGACCGAACATTGTCTTAACTACATCTCGACCACCACCACCAAATTCCAGGTTCCAGAACATAGCTGCGTCGAAGTAAAGTTGACGCAGGGGAGCCTTTGAGGGCAGTACCGAGAAAATCTTGCGGAATTCATCCTTCAGCTCTGGGACGAATTTGCGACCTTGGAGATTGTCCTTCACCGTCGAGGTGACTGCATTGGCGAAGTGGGCGCTACCGAGGATGTCGGCGAGAAGGTAGGCGTCAATGTGAGAGGAATTGATTTGGGCATTTGTATAGACTGCAGTATCAATCCATGAAACAAATGAGTGAAAAGACTCCCATAATGGTGCCAGGTACTCTTCCGAGCCTGTACCGACCAGTACCTGAAAGTCGTATCTAGGTCTCTCATCGCCCTCTTCGAAATCGACGACGTGGGGGATACGAGAACCGATATTGGCATTGAGGAGCAGCCGACTTTGGGGAATGTTGATTTCAGAAGTCTCATTATTGGACGTGACATGGTAGACGATTATGAGCTGTTCAGCTTTCGATCTAGGACACGTAAGTAACATAGTGTAGAAGTTGATGGGTATAACAAACTTGAAGCTCGGCTTGTGGTCTTCAAAGCCCTTCGGGAGGCACTTAGTCAAGTCATCATCCACTTTGGAGCTATTGCTTGGGAGCTTTTCAAAGTCCATGTCGGGAGGAGAAACTTTTCGGGTTCGGGGTTTCCTGTTCATGAATGGTAGTGTAGGCATGCCGATCTAAGGGTAAATTGAGGTCAGGAAGATGAGTGGCGATTGTGGAAGGTAAGAGAAGAGGCGAAGAGGCGGGACTGAGTTGAGGTTGACAAGATCGAAATTGGTTGAAAGTGAAAGCCAAGATGTGGTCAAGGTTGAACTTAAACTCAAGCTGACAAGATCGACTGAGGTTGAGGAAGTAAGATAATTGAAAGTTCACAAGCGAAAAGCTACCACCCACAGGTTGCATACTGGCACACAAGCAGTCAACTTCGCTACAGCAGGGGGATTTCCAGTCACTAATACCGAAATCGAGAGGTGGCTGCAGCTTCGAACAGGACAAAAGTCAAATTACATGCATTTATCTCGCCTCTTCCACTTGGAAGATCACTGCGGGAAAGGGGCTCTCGAACTAGCACTTGTGATGGAGCAGATTTAGGTCAAAAAAGCCTACGGCCGAAACGTTCCAGACGTCTTTCGTACACCACACAGCATGTCTGCAAATATCTTTCCTGCATATTTCCAGCATATCTCACTCAATCAATCTCCCCTCTCCTCCTCCTACCTTCTTCCCACAACTCATCATATTTATCCCTCTTTCTACTCTGTGGCGGCCTTTCACTCCTGCTCCTTCCGGCCTCGTGCCCTCCAATACCACCCAGCAACGCGCCACCCAAAGTCCCCAGACCAGGGAATATGGCATCCCCAATCACACTGCCGCCAAAGGCTCCTAAAAACGTATTCCGACTGCTATGAGCTCTCTTCCTTGGCTGCCTTGACCGTTCTAAATCTCGATCCTGAGAACTATCTCTATCTCGAGAATGACTGCGATGGCGGTGGTGGTAATGTTGTGGAGGCTCTGAGATTGATCTTCTTCGCCGCAGATGTTCGTCTTCGGAAGAAGATTCGTCGTCCGAGTCGTATTCATCATCGAAACGGACTTTTTGGGGAGGATGTCGTACTTCGGGTAGTTGAGGGTATTGTGGGTTTTGAGGAGGGTAGTAGTTGTGAGGCTGGACTGGCTGTATGTGTGGATATGGTGGTGCTTGAGGATTGCACGGTTGCAGTTGTTGATGATGATTCGGTTTGTAGTCTGCAGGATTAAATTGAGGCTGGGGGACTTGTGGTGGGGTTGCCCAAGGCTGATATGGAGGAGGAGGGTAATTTGGTGCCTCCTCTTGTTGACTTGGCTGGTTGAAGCTATTGTAGTAGTCCTGTGCTGCCATCTTTGCGGAGATCAGATGTTCAACAATGAGTGCAATGAGAGATGCCTTGCCTTCGATAATAGATATAAAGAGTGGCGTAAGAGAGAGAGATCTGACCTTCTGACCCCGCGAACAGGATTACCTCACCTTGCATAGAGTCGTCGAAGTATTATGCTCACGTCATCGATAGCTGAACTGCAGTGCCGAGCAGCGACGGGATTCTTGGTAGAAACCCAGCAGGGCACATGCTCCAAAGAGCAAGCCGGTCGATCCGGGTCGGCATTAGCATTTCTTGACATTTTATAGATTCGTGTTATTGGAGCAGAGAAGGCAAGAAAGCGCCCGAGAAGTGAGGGCCATCGGTTAGTCGGAGACGCTAACCCAATTTCTAGTGCCTTGGTAGAACGCCCGTAGAACTCTGGGCACCTTGACCCTCAACCCTTCTTCAACCCAGAACGCTCAGTCTCACACATTTCGATTTCATCAATCCTTCTTGCAGATACATATTCTTTAGTCAAGATTTGCCCTTGCTTTTCTCAAATGCAAATCGAGATGAATCTTTTCAGTGATATGATGAGTCGACGGAGTCGGCCGCTGTGCTACGTCCTTGTTCGATTATCTTGGGCTTTGCTTCAACACACTTCTTTGATGAGCTCTCTTTTTATATGCATTCAAATCATTTGTTATTCCTCCTCTGCCTCAGCACCTTCTCTTGTCACGTGTAAGTCACGTGGACATTTCCTCGAGTATTGTATGCTTCATCAAGGTCGAGAAGGACGTTAAATCCTTCGACTGCATTTCAGCTACGCCCAAAAATCAAGCTTATTTCAATACTGTCACTCCCGTGTTGTTACTGGAAGGCATTCAAACAGCCTGCTCGGCATGGCCGTGTGCAGGCTTCAGCATACCTTATTTTTGCGCCTCAAAAGATGTTTTAGGGCTGATTTACCAATCAACCCCTGCGAAGAAAGTTATTTGAGACCTATCGCGGGAGTATGAACTTCAGACAACACATAATGTGGAGGCATCGTCATCTACAAATACTACTTGTTTGGATGCTGGCCGACACAAAGTGCCTGGTTTGTGAGTAGCAGTAGATCAAAATCATGTTCACTTATGTCTTCGTCGCTGTTGGCGGTCTGGTGCTGTTTTGGTGCTCGCAAAAATGGGCATCGCTGAATCGCAATATTGCTGCTGCAAAAGCTTCAGGGCTTCCGTATCGTATATCTTGTTCGTGAGATTTCATGTCTTCCCAATCCTTTTGATAGCTTTATACTCGACTAACTCCTCTAGTTATTAGTGGTATTCCTGGGTACCTCTGGATAGCGACTCACAATCTCTTTCTCGGACCACTCCATGCGTTCAAACCTTCGCGAAAATGGCTTTGGCCCAAGTGAGTACCAATTCTCGTTCTCGATTCACATTGTTAACAAGCTTCTAGGCTCATCCATGTCCATCGAAGTTGGTATTACCCTCAGGAAATGCGACAGAGTCTTGGCGAGGTTTATCTCATCGTCAGCCCTACCCAGATATTCATGGGCTGCAGCAATGCAGAAGCCAATTTACAGTTGACTAGTCGCCGTCTCGACTTCGCCAAACCCGTGGAGATATATGCTATTGTAGATATCTTTGGGACTTCCCTTCTCACTACTGAAGGAGAGGAATGGAAAAGGCATCGCAAGATTGTCGCTCCGGCATTTTCAGAGAAGAGCAACACTGTAGTGTGGAAGGAGACCTCGCGACAGACGGATGGTATGGTCGGTGTTTG